CTCTGCCTTTCAAATAAATAAATAAATTTTCATATATATATAAAAATCTCTGTAAAAATGAAATGATAGATGCCACTTCTAGAGGTGAAAAATGCAATAAATGCAATTGCAAAAATGAAGACCCAAACTCGGTGGGTTAGACGTAGCTGAAGAACAGCTGAGCAGGAAGATGTGGGAGCGCCGCACTCCAGATGTTATCACACCACACAGTACAGAGAGACCAAGCGACGGACATAGAAAGCAAGGTGGAGGTACAGCAAGCACCTAATGAAAGTCTCAAAAGTCAGATGAAAGAGAGAGGTGGAGGGACGACCTCTGGGGAAATAATGGCTGAGAATTTTCCAGAATTGATGAAAACCACAAATCCGCAGTCCGAGCAGAAAACACATCCTGAACTAGCCCAGTGGCTAGTGGCTAGAGACCTGGGCCTGCACACAGCGTCCTGCACGGCACCGACAGTACTGAGCTCTGCTGTTGATTGATGCCTCCTCCGGAGGCTGGCGTGGACCGGCTGCTATAGACATTCTACGGGGTGAGGAAGGTGGGTGTCTCCATGGAAGTCACAGACACGCTGGAGGAGAGGAGGTAGAGACAAATGCAGCCCATCTGAAGAAAAGCATTCCTTATTATTTAAAAAATATCTACTTATTTGAAAGTCAGAGTATGAGAGAGAGAGAGAGGAGAGAGAGAGAGAGAGAGAGGTCTTCCACCTACTGGTTCACTCCCCAAATGGCTGTGATGCCTGGGGTTGGGCCAGGCCAAAGCCAGGAGCCAGGAATTCCATCCGGGTCTCCCACGTATGTGACCACGGTCCAAGCACTTGGGCCATCATCTGCTGCTTTCCCAGGTGCACTGTGGGGTCCAGTGCGGTTGCCAGCATCGCATGTGGTGGCTGAACCCACTGTGCCGCAGCACCGGCCGCAGAGATGCGTTCTTGTCCCCGACCTGAAGCAGGAAACCAGGGCCCGTGGAGAGTGGAGCTGAGCAGGAGGGGGAGGGAGGGTGAGACTGAGGTGGGAGTCCTGAGTGCTCAGTGGAGCCACGGAAGGTTCCTGAATCAAGCTCTCAGATGGTCCTTGTGTGGGTGAGCACCCATTTGGTGGTGAGAGGGACAAGGGCTTTAATACCAGCACAGAGGCCAAGGCCTGCACAGAGGACAGTCTCAGAATCAGAGTTCTCTCTCAGGGGTTCTTACTGGGCCCATGATGACCCCTGTTGCCCATTGATGACGGACGCATGGCCTGGCCAGGTTCCGGGGCACGCCTATTCCTGGAGTGTCCAGTAGAGGGGGCTCATCGGTGACCCAAAGCTTGCTTACCTAGAGCGAGGGCCTGGGCACTGGCGCGGGAAATATTCTACGCTGCCGCCCTCGAAAAGGTGAATGGACACTGGAGGACAAAAGCAGCTGGGCTCAGGCGTGACCCCAGCAGTTCCAGGAGATAGTGCTCATAAGGAACTCGGAACGTGGACGGGCAGCTCCTACTGTTGGCTGTGCGTTCCTGTTGTAACTACGCAGCAGCTCCTGGCACGGACAGGAGGAGTCACGTAATTGGCCTTGGCCGTCTATCCCTGTCCATCTCTGGGGCAGGCGCTGTGGTGCAGCAGGTGGAGCCGCCGCCTGCTATGCTGGCATCCCATAGCAGAGTGCTGGTTCAGTCCCGGCTGCTCCACTTCCGATCCAGCTCCCTGCTGATGCACCTGGGAACGCAGTGGACAATGACCCTTGTGGATTGTCCAGATGGAGTTCTAGGCTCCTGGCTTCAGCCTGGCCCAGCCCCAGGCCAGGCATTACAGCCATCTGGGGAGTGAACCATTGGGTGGAAGATCTGTGTGTCTTTCATTCTCTCTCTGCCACTCTTCCTTTCAAAGAAATAAAATAAATCTTTTAAAAAATCCTTTTCTGTCTTATTAGTCCCAATTCCTACCAATCTCTTCCTTGCCTGTTATCCATCAGTGACAGTTTCAGGAAAATCCTTCCCCACGCGGCGCTCCCCGCCGCGGTCCTCTTTGGCTTAGCGCCTACTCAGCCTTTTATATCGGGGTTTGATGATCACCTGCACTCTGAAGACGGCCACTGTTTCCCTGTGCAGCACATCCTCCTCTGAGCTCCAGAACCCAATATACACCAGCAGGTTCACCCTCTCCTGCGAGATGGGTTCTTCTCAAACGTGGCAGTACCGCCCCCGGGTGGCAGCTTTGGAAATTTGTACCAACATTTTTGGTTGCCACACGGATTGTGCGGTGCTGCAGACTTTTTAAGTAGAAGTCAAGGACTTGGGCCTGCGCCATGGCTTGCTTGATTAATCCTCCGCCTGCGGCGCCCATATCCCATATGGGCGCTGGGTTCTAGTCCCGGCTGCTGGGGCCCCGGGAGTGCAGTGGAGGATGGCCCAAGTGCTTGGGCCCTGCACCCGCATGGGAGACCAGGAGAAGCACCTGGTTCCTGGCTTCAGATCGGCGCAGCGCCGGCCGTGGCGGTCATTTGGGGGATGAACCAACGGAAGGAAGACCTTTCTCTCTGTCTCCCTCTCTCACTGTCTATAACTCTACCTGTCAAAAAAAAAAAAAAAATCAAGGACTTGTGTGTCCACATCCTGAACATCATAAGGAGAAAGTTTATACAGAAAAATTTTTATATGGTTTAAAATAGATTGACTTTGTGCTCGCTTTGGCAGCACATATACTAAAATTGGAACGATACAGAGAAGATTAGCATGGCCCCTGCGCAAGGATGACATGCAAATTCGTGAAGTGTTCCATATTTTTTTAAAAAGTAGTGTAATAGTCTTAATATTTGTTTTCTAAAGTTGATTGCGGGTAATTTCTGTAAGTAGCCTGATGATGGGACCTTTTTCTCAAAATAAACAAGTTATTAAACCAGGAATTTGGAGGAAAAAAATAGATTTACATTTTCTGAAATGAGGTTATGATGTAAATTTGAGCGAAGATTGTATTTTTGGCTACTGTTTGGAATGGTAGCGAGGATTGTACAACACACTAGAAATTCATTTACTGCAATGCTGTCTGTAAGATACAATGTAAAATTTTAATGATGTATTACACACATAAAGGAATGTGTCCCTACCCTAAGTGCTTAATATGGTAAATTTTCAGAAAATGACCACATGTGTATAACCAGCACCCAGGTAAACAAACAACATTGTCAGCACCGCCCACCCCCAGAGGTCCTCCTGGAGCCAGTTCCAGCACTCCCTCCTCCCCCGCAGGTAAACACTCTCGACTTCTAACACCGCACAGTAATGTTGCCCGTTTTTGCCTTGAAGCAGATGAAATCACACAGTATGGTCCCGTTTCATCTGATTATGCTTGTGAGATTCGCCGTAGTGTATCAGTAGTCCATCCTCACTGACACAGTACCCACTGGGTGAACGTACAGTTGAGTTATCTGTTCTCCTGTCATGGACATTTCATTGTTTCCAGTCTCAGGCACCAATGATCCTCCCAGTTCAGGTCTATTGGTTCACACATATCAGCATTTCCATTGGGTATGTGATTATGAGGTCATAGGGTGTGCACGTGTGCGGGTTTAGGAGATAACAGCCGAACAGTCGTACACAATGGTTGCCTGTTTTCTTTCCCACAAGCTCATGGTTGTGCCTGAACAGTTTGATCATTTTTCTTTTTTCTCCTAGACCTCAGGAATACAGAGTGGATTAACAGCTACCACGGTCCGGGCACAACTCACGGTTGTGTTTAGTTTGTTGGCTTTTTTTCATTTTTGATTGAATGCTTGATTAAAATACATGCATATAACATAAAACCTACCATCATAACCATTTTCGAATGTGTGGCTCAGTGGTATGAAGTGCATTGTTCTGTTATGCAATCATCAGCATTGTCCATCACCAGGACTGTTCATCTGCAAGGCTGGAACTCAGGGGCTGGCGCTGTGGTGTAGCAGGTAAAGCTGCTGCCTGCAACACCGGCATCCTATATGGGCACCAGTTCGTGTCCCGGCTGCTCCACTTCTGACCCAGCTCCCAGCTAATGCCGTGGGAAAGCAGCAGAGGATGGCCCAAGTGCTTGGGCTCCTGCATCCACGTGGGAGGCCTAGAAACTCCTGGCTCCTGGCTTCAGCTTGGCCCAGCCCCGGCCATTGCAGCCATCTGGGGAGTGAATCAGTGGATGAAAGATCTCTCTCTGTGTCTCCTTCTTTCTGTAACTGATTTTCAAATAAATAAATCTAAAAGAACCCAAACCTGGAACTCTACCCATTCAACAATAACTCCCTTTTCCTCTCTTCCCCCAGTCCCCAACAAACACCATTCTACTGTCTGGCTCTACGCTTCTGCCTGCTCTGGGTCACTCAGCTAAGTGGAATCATCCCGTATCTATGTATCTTTCTGCAGTGGGTTCGTTTCACTTAGTAGAAGGTGCTCAACGTCCCCCCATCTGGCAGCCTGTGTCCAAACTTCCTTCCTTTGTAAAGCTGAGTGATTGTTTATTGTATGGGTAGAGAATCTTTTGCTGATGCATTTCTCCACTGACGGACCATTGGGTTGTTCTATACTTTAGCTATTGTGAACAACGCTGATTTGAACTGGATGTGCGAGTATCTCTTTGGGACTCTGCTTCCAGTTCTTTTCTGCCCAAGTACGTTGAGTGGCATCTGCTGCCTTCCCGGTGCATCAGCAGGAAGCTAGATCAGAAGCAGAGTAGGCGGGACTCCCGGAGCTGGCACTCCTACACGGGATTCCAGCATCTCAAGCATTGGCTTCAATTGCTGCACCACAACGCCAGCCCTTGACTTCAAGCGAAATCATCTGAACCTTAATGGATTTGTGTGTCCCAGTGCTGTGGTATAAAAATTTAGTCTATACTGACCAAAAAAAAATAGCATATAAAAAACACTTGAACTAAAAAGTTTTGATCAATATGATTCATCAAGTAGAATCAAAGGTTTAAAGAAAGACCACATCTCACTACATCTACTCTGTTCTTCATAGAATCAAGCAGTTGATTTCTTATGGAGCCTGTTTTAAAAGTCATCTTTATTGAGGCATGATGTATATACAGTAAAATCCATTTTAGGTGTTATAGTTCAAGGAGTTTTGGCAAATCTGTGAGCCCATGTCACCATCACCACATCATGATATAGAATATTTCTATCATCCCCAAAACTCCCTCGTGCCTTCTTTGCAATTTGCCATTTCACAGCCCCAGGCAGCCATAATCTGCTCTCTGGCCCCATAAGTTAGTGTTCTCTGTTCTAGAATTTCTATAAATGACATCAGATAAAATACATTCTTTTGTAAATAGCTCCTTTTAATAGAATCTGTTCATTTTCTATAGAAATAATAATGTCTACATGTGTGCCATAGTTTATACATCACATTTTACATAACCATAGAAAGTAATACAAATAGATAGGACATAACAATGGCCCTTATTATCCGACTTGTTATTATGTTTCTGATGTAACGGAACTCAAAATGAACTGAGGTCTTAGCTATTTCTTTCTCCACTTGTGAAAATTCTGCTTTGAAATAAAGACCCCCAGAACAGCTTTTCATTTTTGAGATGTCATTTCCAACTCACTGTCTGTTTGGAGCAGTTTAGCTTCTAAGGACAGCCCCAAGGAGAACTCTGTTTATACTTTGAGGCCAACTGAATCATCTTCTGTCATTTGCACACTCCCTCCATGTCCTCTCCGGGAAAGGCCCAGGCCCCGCCCCCTTTGTGTCTTATGGGGCTCACTGAACAAACTCAGGCCATGCTTGGATGAAAAGGACCACAGGGTGTCCTGCAGGTCTAGGAGAAGGGTACTGAGGAAGCTCTCACACCAGCTCTCCCCTGAGATCAAAGGGTAGAGAATCAGGTCCCAGGGTGTCCACATCTCCTGCCACCTGGTCGTAGATTCCTCTTAGGTCCTCGTACTTGTCCTCAGGCCAGCGGTGGTCATAGGGGTCCTGATAAGCAAAACCTGGAGTTAGAACTATGGGGAGATGCCTTGTGAGTCATCATGTAAATCTGGGAGATACACACTCTTGCTTGACTTCTCAGAAAAAAGGTATTAGCTCTTAAATATGGGGAAAAGCCCAACAAAGTGGAGAGTGATTATAAATGAACCCCCATGAAGAATCCCATGTACCCAACATCTGGTTTTAGTGGTGTCAACCCTTGGCCAATAGTGATTTATCTAAACCTCCATCTTCTCATCCCCACCACTCACCCACCAGGTTATTTTAAATCAAGATATCACATGATTTGATGTTGGGAAAATGATTTCAGTGTCAGAAACGTGAAATCTTTAAGAGCCCATGATACCAGCTGTGGCAGCTGTGGAATATGAGTCATGGTTCTGTTAGTCTTATGAGTCCCCAAGACATTTACCCATCAAAATAGAAGGGGAAGAAAGACCATACTGGGGATATTCTCTGTCTAGGGCTGGGAGAAAATCATTTTTTTAGCTCAACAAATTTCAGAGCAGATTGGTCCATGAGCCATTATGGCCTGTTGTCTTTGTTTGTACTGCCCAAGAGCTAAGAAAGTTTTATATTTTTTTATTTTCAGGGAGAAAATAAAAATAAGAATAATACTTGTGACATATGAAAATTAAATGAAATTCAAATTTTACTGTCCAAAAATAGTTTTATTGGAACACAGCCCAACTCATTCATTTATATATTGCCTATGGTCACTGTTGTTCTCCAGTGGAATAGCTGATTAGTTTGGAGGAAAACCATATGTCCCACAGAGCCCAGATTATTTACTCTCTGGCCCTGTAGAGAAAAAGCCTGCAGGCTCCATCTGTGCTTCCAGGGTACATATGGTCCAGCACCATGGACAGCATCCAGGGCCTGTTACTCCTCCACTGGTGGGAGCTGTGGTCTGAGAACAGTGCTCCAGGTAGACGGCTGTTAGAGAGGAACTCCCTGGCCCAGAGGGGCCGGAGCAGCAGCCAAGGCCATACAGAAGGACAAGGGCTCTTTCTCACCTCCTTATTGTGGAGCAGCGGGTAGGGGTTGGCTGCTGATCCAGTGCCTGCACAGTGTTCTTGTCCTGCCAGCACCCGCTGTCCCTCTCCCACTCTCAGTCCAGTGTAGAGAGGAGGGCTAGCCTCTGCTCCCCACCCCAGGGGTGTGGGGTATGGATTCAGGTCCGTCAAATTAGCATATTCCCTACCTCAGTGATTGGTTCAGCAGTGAGCATGTGACCCGAGCTGGACTAAGTGTCAGCATTGGGGACTTGGAAATATTGCAAAAGAGGCCTTCTCTTTCTTTGAATATTTCTAATCTGATAAGACACAAATCCTTCCTGGATTTTCAAGAGACATCTTCATGGAGGAAATTCTGGGTCCAGCCAGACTAGAACTCAATTCTTTTCCTTAACTTTTCAACTGGGCTAGCAAAAAGAAAATCCTTTCTGTCTATTTAACCAGGGCAATGGAGAGGGCTAATCATCCAAGAGAATGCACTCCTTCCTTCTCCCACAGTAGCAGAACTGAAGCCAGACCAATTCTAGACCCCAGCTCACGCCTCTTCTGCACCAGGTGTGGCCACGGGATGGTTGGTGGAGTGGGGACAGAAGTGATGTGTACCATTTCTGGGCCTGGGCCTCCACCACACTCTCTATTTCCTGTTGCCAGCTGAAAACCCCAGAGAAGCCCATCTCTGCAGGCTTGGATGAAGCACTAGGAGCTGGCAGAAGAACACAATGGGAAATACGGGGAGGGGGGTTCCGGAACAACCACCCACAGCAGGGCCCCTCAACTGCTTTAGGCCACTGGGTTGAGGCCGAACCTCTGTCCCAGCAGCTCTTTTTGCTGTAATTCATATAAGCAGTAGGGTGTGGGATCCCAGCACTAGGCAAGAAAGACTGCTGCTAACACACATCTCCTCACCATCTGTACTTCATCGTAGAGGGGTCCCCAGCTCCCAGATGGGATGTGCATTCGTTCCACCTCATCATACAGGTGCCCAGGAAAGGCCATGCCTTCATCTTCAAAACCCACGAGGCCTGGAGTTGGAGCGGTGGAAGTGAAGAGCAATCAGGGCACCACACCCGGATGTCAGTCAGGGGCATCTCTGAACAGGACAGGCCCTGGTGTGGCCGCGACTCACCTCGAGGGGAGGACACCTCCTCCAGGGTGGGGGGCAGCCGGGGGCTGAAGTCCCGCATGGAGTGGTAATATGGTTCTCCCTCCGCGGTGCTAACCTGTCACACACGCACACACACACACACACACACACAGAGCAGATAAGGGCCTTTCCATCCTCCGCTCCACAGCTGATGGAAATGGCAGTGACTGACTTGAAGTGGATGGTGGGACTCCCGCCACCAGGGCTGTCCTGGCCATGCACACTCACCGTGGAGCTCTGAGTGTCCCTGTCCCCGGTCCCCTGGCTCTCCTCGTATTCATTCCCGACTCGGTCCTCCTCCGTCCTTCCAGGATGGAGGTGTGGAGGGCAGTCGGGGGTCCGCCCTCTGCCACTTGTCACCCCCAAACCATCTCCCTTCTTCACAAATCCCCCCACTTACCCTGCCTCTGTCTTCTCTGAGGTACCTGAGAGAAAAGGGGGGAAAAGGTTCGGAGACGCCCACTGGAGCCCACCTGGTCTTGGCAAAACCCTGAAACTGCAGCGACTCGGGTCCCCCTTTACCGGTGGCCCCCGTCCCGGCAGGGAAGGGTCTCTGCTCACCCTCCGAGGCACGCCTCTGTCTCCGCCACCAGAGCACTCCCACAACACAGGAGGCGTTGGAAAGCAGCAGCAGACCTCCCACGGCGAAAAGCACAGGCAGCAGGCGCAGCCCCGGGGGCCCTGGGGGCGGAAGGCAGCCCTCCGTGACCAGGCCTGTCCTCCTTCCAAGGTCAGGGCAGCAGCTGGGCAGGGGGTCCATCCGCACCCCGCCTGCCTCCCTGGTACAAGCGGCTCCTTTCTGAATTCCAGCCATGAGCAGTAAGTTCTGCCTTTGCCTGGGTCCTGTCTACAGGCTCAGGAGACAGCTTCAGCTCCTAAGCTGGGATCTGAGACCTCCCACCATCTTGCCTCTTCCCACTTCTCCAGCCACACCCAATGTCACAGACCCCAGCATTGGGACTTCCAGTCACACAGACTGGTCATTGGCTGTTTCCAAGTTCAAGTACTTTCTGGCGTAGTCAAGGATCTGTCCTTAAATGTCCTTTTTTTTCTCCAACTTCTAATCACCCCTCAAGTTCCACCTCTAGGAAGTCCCCCCCAGTCCAGCCAATACCAGGCCAACCCTTTTGCTATATCCCTGGGGACAAGACTGAGTTCCTCCAAGTAAGTCTTCCAGCATCTTCTGCCCACAGCACCTGCCCTCCTTTGGGGAGACAGTCGCGCCCCCATTCTCAGCCTGAATGGCTCAGGCAGGATGCCGTGGTGGCCACACTGCCCCGCCTGGTCAGTCCAACCACCCATCCCCCTTCCCACAGTGGTTGGTCCTGACACAGGCGTTCGACCCCAGGTGCCTTGTGCCCGAGCACTCAGGGCGTTTCGCAGGCTGCTTTGCCCTCTTGATGGCAGAACCTGAGACGCCACCATCAACAAAGGCGAAGTCGAGAGCAGGGGGAGAAACGGATCACAGATGGACCCCTGAGGCGCACTGGGGGTTTTCGTTTCATGAGCCATTTGAGGGCTGACGACAGTTGAGCGTCGTCATGTACAACCTTCTTCTCTGGCTCTGAAGGGGCCGTTTGCCACAGAGTCACAATTCCCCTTCTTGTAGCCACACTGACTCCTCCGTGCTGAGCCACGGGACTTGCTTTGGCTGATGGAACCACAGCAAACGTGACACAGTCAGGAGCGAGAGATGGGAGCTTGTCTCACTGCTACTGAGACCCCTGTGGCCACCTCCATATGAACAAAGCAAGGCGAGACACGTGGCCCAGTTAGCTCCATCGCCCCAGCCGAGAGCCCGAGGACTGTCGGAGTTGTGAGCAGGAAGCCACTGTAGACTGCCCAGGTCCAGTTCAGCTGCCAGCTAACCACAGAGATGACTCAAGCCAGCCCAGACCAGAAGTCCCCAGCCGACCCACAAGACCATGACAAATAACGTGTGTCACCCTAAGTGTCCGTATATGGGGTCGTTTGTTACACCCCAGCTAACAGAGCATGGAGTCAGGGCGTTCTTTCAGAATTCAACTCGATTTGTAAGAGAGGAAATCCGAAACTCCAAGCAAGAGGAAGAGCTAAGGATGTACGGCAGGTCTGCTGAGAGAGCGCTCAGTCTTCAAGGGCGGGAGGCGGGGTCAGAGACCGGAAGTTCCCACTCTAGAGAGGGGGAGGACTGGGAGCATTAAGGACTTGCCTGCAGGCTGCTCTGTGGGCGGCTGGTGGTCCGGTATTCCAGAGGGGTGGTCCAAGCCTGAGAATGGGGTGGGGGTGGGGGTGGGGGTGGGAAGATTATGTACTTGCACCAAAACCCTGACAAAAACCATAAATACTTCTCAGACTCTTATCAGGCTTTTCAGGCCTAAGACTTCTTAGGAATATTTCAAAGAGAGCTGGAAATTGATGACAAGGGCGATACTGTTAGTAGCAATTCTGACATCATTAGTGACAATGCGGCAGGTGTTTATGTGTAAGACACAGATTTAGACTCTTGTGCATTTCACATTGGAGTGCCTGGATTCGGCTACTGACTGACTCCAGTTTCCTGCTAATGCAAATCCCGGGAGGCAGCAGTGACGTCTCGTCTCGAGGAATTAGGCCACTCCCACTCATATGAGAGACTGCACTGAGTTCCTGGCCCCCAGCTTCATCCCTGGCCCAGTCTCAGCCACTGAAGAGTGAACCAGTGCATGGGAACTCTCTCTCTCTCTCTCTCTCTCTCTCTCTCTCTACCTCTCATGTAAATAAATGAAAATAATAATAATAAATTATTGATGAGTGTGTTACCCATTTAATCTGAATTATCACCTTGTTGAATTAACCAAAAAAGATGTTTGGGCTCTCGGGATCCCTTAATAGAGGTATAAGTTCTACAGCAAGGGAGGTGATTTCGGTGCTTGGTTTTAGTGCCAGAGAGAAGGCTGGAATGGGGGAGGGAAGAGCAGGGAAGACTGCAGGGACGAGAAAGGCTTACACTGCCGCGGAGAGGAAGGTTGCTTTGCAGGGAAGGGGAGACGTAAAGGAGCCTTGGGTGAGCTTCCGTGGGGCAAAGTAAGCGGAGAAGGTGAGCACAGGGCATTTCTTAAAACCTTTTTTTTTTTTTTAAGATTTATTTTATTTATTTGAAAGACAGAGTTACAGAGAGAGGTGGAGATAGAGAGGGAGGTCTTCCATCTGCTGGCTCACTACCCAGATGGCCGCAACAGCTGGAGCTGCGCAGATCTGAAGCCAGGAGCCAGGAGCTTCCTCTAGGTCTCCCACGTGGGTGCAGGGGCCCAAGGACTTGGGCCATCTTCTACTGCTTTCCCAGGCCACAGCAGAGAGCTGGATCGGAAGTGGAGCAGCCGGGACTGGAACTGGTGCCATATGGGATGCCAGCGCTTCAGGCCAGGGCGTTAACCGGCTGCGCCACAGTGCCGACCCCATTTCTTTAAACCTTTAGATAACACGTGGCACTTGGTCCCTGTTCTAAGCTCTTTAGATATACAAGTTTTAGCTCATGAAATCTTCACCTCTTAGATGAGCCTTATTCTCAGACACTGAAATCATAAGGATGCTTCAAAAAGTATGAGAGGGGCTGGTGCTGTGGCGTAGTGGGTAAAGCCGCTGCTTGTGGTGCCGGCATCCCATATGGGCGCTGATTTGAATCCTGGCTGCTCCACTTCGGATCCCATTACCTGGTATTGGCCTGGGAAAGCAGCAAAAGATGACCCAAGTGCTTGGGCCCCTGTACCCATGCCGGAGACTCAGAAGAAGCTCCTCGCTCCTGGCTTCAGATTGGCCCAGCTCCAGCCACTATGGCCATCTGGCGAGTGAACCAGCAGGTGGAATCTCTCTCTCTCTGCCTCTGCCTCTCTGTAACTCTGCCTTCCAAATAAATAAATAAATCATTTAAAAAAAAGTTTGTATTAAAATAGAATTTTGGGGGCCTGTGTTGTAGCATAGCGGATTAAGCTGCTGCCTGCAGTGCCGGCATCCCATATGGTCCCAGCTGCTCCACTTCCAATCCAGCTCCCTACAAAGCACCTGGGAAAGTAGTGGAGGATGGCCCAAGTGCTTGGGTCCCTGCATCCTCGTGGGAGACCTGGAGGAAGCTCCTGGCTCCTGGCCATTTGGGGAGTGAACCAGTGGATGGAAGACCTCTTTCTCTCTCTATCCTTCTCTCTCTCTCTCTGTATCTCTGCCTTTCAAATAAATAAAAATAAATCTTAAACAAAGAAGTTTGTATTTATGCAAAAAATGGAAATCCATGCATGCAAGGGGTCTTTAGAGGCTCATGGAAAATGTGTAGATGAAAAATTATGCATGGTTTTCAATTTTTTTGCACAAAAATAAACTTATCTTTTAATTTAATTTTCCACGAATTGTTCGAAGGACCTTGACACGGGTTGGCGGCAAAAAGCTGGTCTCTGGAGTTCCCCAGTCTCTTTCCCACCTCTGCCTCATTTAGCTGGGTGATCCTGAACAATTTGCGTGACCTCTCTGGGTCTCCGTGTTTCATTGGTGCCGCCTTCCCCGACCCCCGTCACTGCACACCCTGTGAGTCCTCTGGGAAACCCTCTGACCTGCCGAGGCGGTCCCTTCCCACCTGGAGTAGTCAGAGAGAGCTGAATCCCCTTGTCAGCGAGTCCACTGTCTCCCAGCGCATTGCTGGCCAGCAGCCAGAGCCTGTAGCGTGTAGAAGGCTGCAGCCCAGTCAGGGTAAAAGCAGTGGCCTGGGCTGGCAGAACATCCATGTAGAGGAACCCTGGAGTGTCCAGGGCCTCATACCTGCACAACAGGAGGACAGTCAATGCAGAAAAGCACCCCAGGCCCGCTGGCTGCCTTCCCCGGCTGCCTGGGCGGGGGTCTACCTGATGCGGAACTTCTGTGGCAGGCCCCCATCAAAGCCGGGTTTCCACTCCAGCCCCACCGAGTGTGGGGTCAGGCTCACGACCTTCAGTCCCGAGGGGGGGTCAGGACGGCCTTGGGGGAGAGGGATGAAGGGAGCAGTCAGAGGACACAAAAGGATTCTAGAAGATTCCTCCAAAGTCTTTCTAAGAATGACTCTGAATACACAATCAATTCTCGTTATTCATGGCGGTTGTAATCTGTAGGATGCTTCAAAAGGTTCATGGGAAAATGGAATTAGAACATAAGTTGATTTTGGTGCAAGATTTTGCAGAAACCTATGCATAGTTTTTTCATAATACACATTTCCATGAACTTTTTGAAGACGCCTCATAACAGTTCTGGGAACACTGAATTAGCAGATACCAAACCATTGCTTCTTAGGGAAGTGTAAGGCGAGTCTCCTCCAAACCTCTCATCACAGCAACATGTAATCAGTCTATCAGTCAACATGTAATCTTGCTTTTTGTGTGTTTCCATTCGAAGGCACTGTGCTCAGTACAGATTTGCCAGTGCACTAGCACAGAACTCATGGTGAACGGTGCTATACCCTGTGCCTACACAAAGCTTATTCGAGGCAGGAATGTTCTCTGTAAGGCACATCACAGCCTTCCTGCTGGGCTCAGAGGCCATTTTAAGCAGCAAAACTGCTCATAAAAAGCACAAAAATGCAAAACCATGGCACTAAACAAACTACGAAAAGGAAATGATTTACAGCACAGCAGCCAAACCAAGAAGGCGGAGGGTCTCCTTGCTCAGCCCCAGCTAGGAATGTGCATGGACATGGGGCAATGGCATGGGACTCAACCTTCCCACCACTCCGTTCATGAACTCGATGAGGATTGATGTGGGCATTGCGAATACATTTTAGTACATAGGTCCATCAGCTGAACACATCTGTTCCATGCAGTGGAACACCCGTCCCCTCATTCCTTCTGATTACAACACCCCAAATTTGGAGAACTACCACCCCATAGTCTCACGCTGCTGAGGGAGGTGACTCCACTCTGGGTAGGGTGGACACGTGACCAAGCCAGGCCAATCAGTGCTGCCTGCCCCTGACCACATGGTTGGTTCAGGGTTGGGCTGAAAGCCAAGGGCAAACAATGACATTTAATTGTAGTATTTTCATCCAACTGTTAAGAAGAGGACAAATTCTATTCCTTCAGGGAAAACAGACCCCACTGAGGAGCCTTCAACTAAAGCCAACACAGAGGAAAATGACCTAAAGGAGAGAAGTTCTTGGTGACAGCTGAACCCAGACAAAGCAGCTCCTGAAAATTCACTTTTCAAACTCTTGAGCCCCTGAGGACACCCTCCGGCCGCCATCTTTTCTCATACTTGTTGTGGATTTCCCTGGGGATCCAACCTCCCTTAAGATTTCTAAGGCAGGCAAAAACTTCATCCCCATTCATGAATGCTTCCCAGGTTTCAGGAACTCTACCACCCTGGGGTCAGCCAGAGACTTGGGAACTGACCCAAATAACACTCCCCCCAACCCCCTCCATCGTACTGATGCTGACGAGTTGAATGTTGGTCTGATCCGAGCCCAGGGGATTGGTGGCCGTGCACGTGAAGAGAGCATAGTCGTGGGCTGCAGACACGTTGGCAATGGTCAGGAGACTGCTGTGGACCCCACCCTGGTGGTACGTGTGCTCCGTGTACCTGGAGAGAAGGTGGGGGTGGCGGTCTCAGGAGGGCAACTGGAGCTGTGGATCAGGGTTGGGGCTGGGGTGCTACCTGCTCGGCCTTGGCCCACCTGGGATCCTGGAGATCCAGAGGGACCCCATTTTTCGTCCAGGTGAAGACGACATTGGGGACAGCTCGGGCACGGCAGTGGAGGGTGGCAGAGCTAGTGCTGTCTCCAGCTGCGGCCACTTTAGTGAGAGGCGCGGGATGCTCTACCTGCGGGGCATCTGGGGTGGTGGGGGGATCAGTGTGAGCGGGCGGGAGGACTGGAAAGCTGTCAGTGGCAAGCCGTGAAGTCACGATCGGGGCGTTACCCACATCTGACAACAAGACGGACCAGCCCTCTGGCTGGAGGTGCCACCCCATTGTCCACCACGCACTGGTATGCACCAGCCTGGGCCAGTTCGGCGTGGAGAATCCTCAGACGCCCCGTGGACCCCTTTGAGATCTTCTCCATGTCATCCAGGCTCTGGTCCTCCTCCTCTTCCCCCTAAAGATCCAAGACTCATAAGCTGGTTCCCTAGTCTGGCCCCAGATCCATCTTCCCCAACGCTATGTTCCCCCGTAGCCTCATTCTCCCAGCCACGGTCACCTTCCACAGAATCACCCACAAAAAGATTTCTCTGTCATACATTGGTCCACTCTATCTGTTTATCTACCGGTTCAGCCAACCATTCACCCCTTTCTGTATCCAACCACTCATCCTTGGGACTGTCTACCTACACACCCATCCACCTCTCCACCCATTCATCCATTTATCCTTCATTCATTCATCCATTCATACCCCATCTATTCATGCTTTCAGCTTTCCACCCATTCACCCCTTCTATTCAACTCATTTACGCACATACCCACAAACACATGCATCTGTTAACCCAGTCATCCACACACCTGCTTATCCATCTCTCCACCAATCTAGCCATCCATCAATTGATCCATCCACAGACATCTCTCCACTGATGGTGTATCTGTCCATCCATCAACCCCTAATCTGAACTGCCCACTCATTTCTCTCATTCAATCATCTAGCCACCCACCCATCCACTCCTCTTCCATCCACTCTTCCAACCACTCATTCACATCACCTGATCTTTTCACTCTCCTGTCTATTGACCCATCTGTCCATTCACCCACCCACTTATCTATCTATCCACTCATCTGTCATTCCACAAACAGCTATTTGTTCCTGGAGCATGCCCTGGCAAGCGTATAGTCACACAGCATCACGCAGACATGGCTCCCACTCCCAGAGAGCTCCCAGCCAAGAAAATCCATCCTCCGACCCCAACTTCATTCTCCAAAGGGGGGCCAAATGCCAGGGTCCTCACCAGCCTCTCCCAGCTGAACATATCTGGGAGGATGGGATTGGCATCGACAGTGCAGACTAGGTCCACAGAACCCCCGACATCCACCTCAGTGGGGTCCTGGAGGGCGCGGATGATGGGAGCATCTGGTGGGAGGCACAGGGCTTGGGGAAGGCACTTGGGCACAGACAGGTCGAGGTGTGAGAAGGCCCCAGGTGGGAGGGGTGCCTTAGAGGTGTCCAGGAGAGTCTGGGTGTGTAATGTGGAGCTCTTGAAGGAGACTTCTCAGGGTTAGTGAGGTTGTCTAGCCCTCTGCTGCCCCTGTGTGATGACTAGAACAGGTGCAGCAGGCTTCCAGAGTTGGGGGCGGGGCTTCTACTAGTGGGCGTGGTGTCCTGATGGGAGTGGTTCCCAAGTGGGCAGGCGCCCTCTGGGCAGATTCCACATTGGGTCTTTCTGGTGGGCAGGATGGGGACTTCCAGAACGGGAGGGCTCCAGGACCGGTGGGTATCCCTGGGTGGGCGGAGCTTCCACCATGGGGGCCTTCCAGCGAGCGAGTTTCTGGGGGTGGGTGTGGCTTCCACTGCTGGGCGAGTCTCCCAGGGCTCCCCGGTTTCCCAGAGCGGAGCTTACAGTGCACGTCCAGCCGCACCAGCGCTTCAGCGGTGCCCTCTGAGTTCTGACAGTGGAGCTGATAGAGGCCACCGTCCGCACGGGTCACGTTCCAGAGCTGCAGAGCCCCACTGGACAGGATGCGATGCCGAGGGCCGCCAGCTGGGGAGAGCAGGGTAAGGGGCCTGACAGGCCTCCTGGTCCCCTGAGACCCTGCACGCCCCCATGCCCACTTTCCGCACCTGGGCTGAGGCGATAGCCACGGAAAGTCCAGTTGAAGGCCTCGGGGGCAGGGTTAGCGGACACGGACACAGGCAGCAGGGCCTCGCCCTGCTCCACCGCGGTCACCTCGAGCACTTGCTCCCCCAGGAACTCAGGAGGGTCTTCGGAGAGGGAGAGGGCGCCCAGGGGAGTCGAGATTGTTGGTAAGGTCGGGGTCAGGGATAAATCTGAGCTCATGCACAGGGTCAAGGGTCAAAGTCGTGGCCGCGACCACGGTTGAGAAGGTGGACAAGGTAACAAGGGCCGAGCTGAGCTCGAGGGTCAATTTCGGCATGAAAGTTAGGATCGGGTTTAGGGTCAGGACAGGGGTGCGAAGGGGTTCCAGGCCGGCGCACATACACAGCACATTGAGGCGGTAGAAGGAGCTCACGGTTTCGCGGAGCTCGGCGCTGTGCGCGCGGCAGGTCACATGGTGGCCGTGGTCGCGGGATGTCACTCTGAGAAAGACGCTCCTGGCTGCAGCTGAGCCTTTGAACGGCGCTTTCTGGGGCAGTCCGGCCACGCTTTCCAGCCTGTGGACCGGGCCGGAGGGTGGTGGGGCCAGGCCAAGGCTGGTGCGGGAGTGCGACCAGGGCCAGAGGGCTACCACTGTGGGGGACGCAGGGAGGGCGGTGGCGGAACCTGGATGGAAGGGGCGGGACCCGAACTAGGGAGGGGCGGGGCCGCCCCACTCACCCCTCCCCCTCTTTGTCCCAGGACAAGTTCACCGGTGGGTTGCTGCTGATGCTGATGCACGTCAAGTTTAAGGCGTCCCCTGGGCGCAGCGCCGACGCGTTGGCCAGGATCGTCAGGTTCGTTGGGGGAACTTAGAGAGCGGGACGGAAGACCGAGGCTCCAGGTGAGCGCCGGCGCGTCCCGCTTTCGCCTGGCCAGGACCCCAGGCCCAGCCCTGCCTCGGGGCCCGCGTCCGGCTCCTGCCCTCTCCCCGCGCCCGCCCACCCCTGCGCGCGCCCCGTCCGTGCGCGCCCTCACATTGCACCACGAGCCTCGTGGACGCGCTGAGCTGGCCCGCCTTGCACGTGAACGTGGCCTTGTTGTCCGACGGCCCTATGACCAGCACCAGCTCGCGGGAGAAAGTGCTGCCCGACTTCTCCAGACTTCCCAGCTGCACGCGCCGCGGCTCCTGGGGCAGCCGCGGCTCCGTCACGGTGCGCGAGTCCTGAGGGTCGGGATGGGCTGGGGGACCGCAGGGAGCCCTGACCCTACTCCCCCCGCCCCGCCAGGGTCCCGACGCCCCTTTGGGTTGGTCGCCGTCAATCCAAGAAGACTTTGGCGACAACAGGGGCACCCAGGACTGAGCCCCTGCCCCATCTCCCGCCTCTCCCCGGGGCCCCCAGATGCACGCTGATTTTCCAGATCTGATCCCGCCTCCCCGCCCCCAGCCAGCCTTCAGCCCCACCCCCCTGTATCCACTGGTGCGGTTCATTTAGCAAACCCGCGCTGGAAAACTCCCTCCGCATTCCCAAGCCTTGCCCGGGATTCCTTCTTTTCCCATCTGCGGTTCTTTTTCTTGAAAAGCTCACTTTCCCCCCAAAGAGTTCCTTTGCCCTTTCTCTTAATCCCAGTGTCTTTCCAGGGGTTTCTGCATTATTATTATTATTCTAGTTTTTTACTGGAATCCTTTGTACTGTCCCATGTCTTGGCATTCACCCAGAATTCCATCCAAAATGGAATTCCATCGTCCTTCCCTGGAATTTTCACTAGCTCCCTGACTTTTCAGGATTCTTCCAGAATTCTGCCGCAATTTCCTTTCCTTTTAATAGAACTTCAATATCTTACCTCCACGTCCCAAGAATTCAACTGAATATCAGCAAATTTTCAATGTTTTATGGAATCACGCATCTTCCCCCCGATTTCTGGTCTTCCCAGAATATCACCGACTTTTTTTTCCCTGTAGCTCTTAGTCTCTCCCTAAAACTTGTTACATTTCGCCTGAATTCTAAGATTTTCACCAGAACTTCCTTTGCTTGTGCCGGAATCGCCTTTTCCCTAGGAGTTCCCATCTGGCTCCCAGATTCTTTTACCCAGGAATCTTCAGTTTTCCCAGAATTCCCAGAATTTTCCTAGGATTCCATTTACTTCTCATGGCATTTGGGTCTTTTCCAATTCCCTTCCAAAACTCAATGCTAGATCCAGTTTTTTGTTTTGTTTTGTTTTGTTTTGTTTTAACCATTCAGGTTCTTCCAGGATTTCCCATGACTCTGGAAGTAGAGAAGGGACCTTGTTCTCCCTGCCACGTTCCTGACCACCTCACAGCCTTGCTTGGCACCAACCTTGAGCCAGGTGAGGGCGGGGTCCGGGTTGCCTCCAATGGCCAAACACATCAGCCTCACCCGGGTCCCTGTCCGCAGGAGCTGCCCCTCAGGGGGTCCCTCGATCCACAGCTTCTGGGCAGGATCTGAGGGGAGATGCTGAAAGAGTGACCCTTTGCTCTGGGCTGGTGCCCGAGGGTAGGGTTTCTGCAGACTGGGGGATCCCCGGGCCAGTGTAGGGGCTCACATTTCACACTCAGGGTGAGCGACTTCTTGAAGGTCTCCTTAGTGAAGGCCTCGCTGAAGGCCTCACAGGTGAGGGTGAGACCGTTATCCTCCCGCCGCACCAGGTACGTCAGGTTAGACATGGAGATGTGGCCGCCGTGCAGGCCCTAGCGGGGAGTGAGCTTCAGACCCAGGGCCGGAAATGGCCCCTCGCATGATCCCAGGGGCCTGGGCGCACCCTAGTCCACAGCAGGGACACGAGATGCATCTGCACCCCCTCCTCTGTGAGACACAGCAGTCAGGGACCCCAGTCCACACTCCTTAGAGACCAAAGCCTCCAGGCTTCCAGGAACTTCCTCTCCCGGTTCTGGGAATCCTGCTCCCAGCCCCCACCCTGCTCAGACCCAACAGCCCGGTGCCGCCCTCACATCCATGACCGTCTCCTCCGTGGGAAGCAGCTGCCGCCCGCCCAGCCACCACTGCAGTAGGACCCGCGGGCGACTGGACTTGGTGATACAGGACAGCGTGACATTCTTGTTCTCAGACTGGGATGCAGAACCCAGGATGGTGATAGCACTGGGGGGAACTGCAGGACAGATGGACAGAAGTGAGAGCCGAGGCTGGGCTGGACCCAGACGGACAGGGATGAGGTCTTTGGCTTCAGATGGCTGTAGTTGGGGACGCAGGCAGGCGGCTCTCTGGGGCGTGGACTGACAGGCAGGCATCTGGCATCAGAACTCACAGGTGACTTGCAGTGTGACACTTTGCTCCCGGGTCCCCGCGGAGACACTGTTAGAGGCCTCACAGCTGAGCCGCGCGCCGTGGTCTTCGGGCCACACCGTCATCACCAGCACGCTTCGTGCCACCGCCTGGACGTGCTCCGTGCCCCACGCTGTGGACAAGGGCTGGCCATTCTGGAGACAGAGAGCATCCTGGGCCAGCTCCTGGACCCCACCTTCCCTAAACCCAGTGCCTGCCTCTTGTCCTCACCTTCAGCCACTGCAGCGTAGCTGGTGGATTCCCGCCTCGGGCCACGCACGGCAGCTCCAAACTCTGCCCTGCCCGCACATGTCCCTCATTCAGGCCCGGCCACTCGATGACAGGGGCTCCTGGAGGGACTGGGGGAGCAGCAATCGCTCGGTGGACCTGGGAAGCCCATCCAGGCCCCATGGCCTGCCTCTGGATTTCCATGTCTCCCCCTGAGGGTCTGGATTTTCCATAATCCCCATGATTCCCAGGAGTCCCAATTCCTACCCCCTGCCCGCTCCTCAGAGCCCGTAACAGGTTCAATTCTTCACTCACACAGCACGTTCATGGTGACTGAGGCCCTGAGGGGCGTGTCCAGGGCTGGGCTGGAGCTCTCACAGACCAGTAACTGCCCATTATCCGAGCTCTGGGGTATCACCCTGGGATGGGAGGAAGTTGGGGTCAGAGTCATTGTGTGAAATTCGGGGAATCTGGGCGGAGGGGTGGGGACCCCAGGTTCTCACGCATGGTCTAAGTCTCCATGCTGTTTTGCCCTGGGCTCTAGAGTTCCATGGGAGATATTTGAGGGGTCAGCAGGGAGAATTTTGACCCACGCCTGGCCAAAGACCTTGCTCTTGATAGCCTAGACCCAGAGTCCCCATGAAGAAGTTCTGGGTGTCGAGGTGAAGAACCGGACTCCAAATGTGTACACCCAACGCAGGTTTCCGTGCCTGAATCCCTTGGAAGAGGTTTTTTTGGGGGAAGTGGGGGGGCCTTGGTGGGGGGAGCCGTCCCCACTTACGCACCTGGCCGTGGCCTCTGTGGTGAAGAGCTTCTCCTGGGACCCGTCATTCACGTTAGCGGAGATGTCCGACACTGTTTGTCCACCTTGAGGCAACAAGAGGTCTGGAGGGGAGCCTGGTTCCCCAAAATGCTCTGGGGAGCGTGCCTGGAAGTCTTCAGGGTAAACAAGATGTCCCCTCCCTCCTGGTCTGGAAGAACAGGGCCTGGGACACCAGCTCCGTAGGTCCCCTTGGGTACTGGAGCCCTGGTGAGGGTTCCTGGGTCTCTGCCAGCTCCTCACCTTCTTGCTGGGCTGCATCACGCGCTCTCATCACTCGAGCCTTCCAGTCCCACCCCGCTGCACTCCTGCAGTCCCTGGACACCTCCCTTCGATGTCCCCACCCACCCACTGAGTCCTACACTGGCCCCAGTATCCCCTCAAGGCTGCTCCTGGGCCCCCATGTTGGGGATGACATTTTCTGGGCCCCAGGAGCATTCCCCCTCCACATTCCGGGGGCTTCAAGCTGCCCCCACACTCACTCTGGAGGAAGGTGATCTCAGGTGCTGGCTTTGCGTCCGGGGACACACAGCTGACCACATACTCCTGTCCAGCTACCCAGGTGACGGTGCTCCCTGCTTCAGGGGTCAGCTGCAGCACCTTGGGAGGAACTGGGGAGGGGGCCTGGGGTAAGCCTCCACCACTGAGGACATCGGTGCTTTGAGTCTCCTTGCCTGTGGAATGAGCCCTGTACCTCGGGGGTCTGAGGGAGGAGGGGCGGGGAGCTTGGATTCATGGGTTCTGGGGGTCTCTGTCCTTACCCAGGATGGAGAGGACCACTCTGGGAGACACGAGCTCCGGCCCCATCTCAGATCGGCCGACCTGGCACTCATACTCCGCATCGTCACTGAGGTCGCACGCTTCAATGTGCAGGTGGAATTCACCTGCAGGTGGGGCCCGAGGTCAGGGCCATGTACGTCTCTGCTGTTGGTGGCTCAGGGGCTCAGGTTCTGGTCCCTTACCTTTAGCGGGATCCCCTTCCAGGCGGTACCTTGGGAAGCCTGGGATCCTAGGATCAGGGCCTAGGAGTAACCCATCTTTGGCCCATTGTACGGCGCTGCCGGGGGCACTGACCCCACACTGCAGCTCCGCCTCAGCCCCTTCCACGGCAGTCAGGTTTGCAGGCAGGGCCCAGAAGCCTCGGGGGGCCGAGGCAGGGACCGACGACTGGACCAGGCCTGTGGACACAGAGGGTCTATCCATACACATACGGGACAGGAAACGACAGCCACTTGGCCCTGGACGCAAGGCTGGGATCCCACTCACCTGTGGTCAGTAGCCCCATGAGCAGCAGTGCATCCCCGATGGGGGTCCTCAGGGCCACCTCAAGTCCCCTGACCATGGCACACACAGTGCTCGTTGCCTGCCACCTGCGTCGGCTGCTGTCTCTCTCTGGGTCCCAGTCTTGGGGCCCACAGTCTCCCAGCTTCCTTTTTGTCTCTTCTTTCTGTCTCTCTCTCTTTTCCTCTCTCCTCGTAAATGTCTCTTTATCTGTCTCTCTTCCTCTCTGTCTCCCCAAGGCTCTCTCTGAGTTTCCCTCCCTGCCTCTCTCTCTCTCTAAGGTTTTTTCTGAGTCTCCCACCCCACCGCTGATCTGTCGTTGTCTCTCCCTCTCTCCCTCTTTCTCTCCCTCTCTCTCCTCACCCTGACAGTCTCTCTCTCTCTCTCTCTCTCTCTCTCTCTCTCTCTCTCTCTCTTCTCTCCTGCCACCCCACAGCCCTGCTCTCCTTTCTCTCACCACTCACAGTCCAGGAGAGCGAGACTGTCATCCGAGGCAGAATTGGGTCCTATCCTCTGACCCAGCCTGAGCTCACCCTGGGGTCCCTCCAGTTCCAGCCTGTGCCCAGCAGGCTCCTCCCAGTGCAGCTGGAGTGAGAAATCCCCTGTCAGCACATGCCAGGTACATTCCTCGGCCCCTCCCCAGCCCCAGAGCTCCATGGGCCTGTCTTAGGCTGAGGGTGAGGGGGAGAAGGTCAGCCTGGCCAGCAGAGAGCTAGGCTGGGCGTGGGGAGCACTCCCCAGCTCCTCCCTGCCCTCAGCCAGGACCTCGGCAAGTCCCTTCCTTCCCTGAGTAGACACCAGCCCTCAGGGATCTCTGGTGGGGGTGTGCAAGGAACCAAGAGAGTGTAGGAGAGAGTGACACTGTGCGTGTGTGCCTGTGGGTGTGGGTGTGCTAGTGCAAGGAAGGGAGAGTGGGCTGTGAGGGTGTGAGGGCACAGGGTGTGCAGCAGCTGGCGCAGGTGGCAGAATCCAAGCTTCACTGTGGGTGTAGCCGGGAGTCCACCGTGGGGACCCTCTGGCAAGGGCTGGGTGAGCTGCCTCTGCCTCTGCTTCTTGCTGCACCCCATCTCTTCTCTCCTTCTTTGTGTCTCTCCTTCCCTCTACCCATCTTGATTTATCTTTCTTTCTCCATGTCTTAATCTCTCCTCTCTCTCACTCTGTTAAGTGTTTGAATCTCAACCAGCCTTGAATGATTCCACTGTCTCTATGCCCCTACATGTCTCTGTTTTTCTTTCTTCTCATTGCTACCCCTCCCCCAACCCCACATGCTGTCTCACACACATCAGGAGTTCAATAAATATTTGTTCTCAGCCAACCTCTGCCTGTCCCTGACTCCCTTATTTGCTTCTCTGGCCCTGAGCTCCTCCGACTGTCACATCCCTGGATGTCATAACCATATGCTGCTTGGTCTGCCCTCCCCACCCAGCGTGCAAACACACTGCTGTGGGATAAGCTGCTTCTGCCTGCTTATCTCCTGCAGGAATTGAACCACTCGTCCCCCCCCCCCCCCGCCCCACGGTCCCCTCTGGTCCTCCTCCAGAAACAGGATGAGACATCTGGCCTGAGCTGCCACGGTTCTAGCCTGGACGCCCTCTCTCATCTCCCCCCACCCCATGATTGATTCCTTGCTCTCCTTCCACATTTGTGCTCCCAACCACACCCCCGCACCTCCTGGGAAAGGGGCTGGATACAGACCTGGGGGGCTCTGTCATGGGGCCCTCGCCAGATGGTGACCCTGGGGACAAGGATGTGGAGCTGGCGGTTTCTGGGACCTTTAATTAGCACAAACCTCCCACCTCCCCGCTGGCGGGGACTCTTCCCCGCGTGCTCCTGGGATCTCAGGCTCTCCATTTTTCCATGCCTGTGGCCCCAGAGACCTAGGAAGAGGAAGCAACATCAGGTTGCTTGAAAAACAGCCTCGCTACCCGACTTCCCCCAGACGCAGGAGTCCTGGCCCCAAGGCTATCCAATTTCAAAATCCAGGCGCTGACTCTACACCCCAGAGCCAGGCATCCAGACCCTCTGTACTAAGGTTATGGCCCTCATGACCCTCCCCTCTCAGTCCCACGAGTCCAGGCTGGCCCTTTCTAAGAACCCAGGAGTGCAGGGGTCCAGCCCTACACACACACACACACAGAGGACAGATGTTCACAGTCTATTTCCAAATCCTCCTGGCAGAGAGACTGGTGGCTAAATCCACTGAGTCTAAGACTTAAAACCAGATATTCTGATCCCTGTCACCCTCTCCCAACTGCACCATGCCGCAGACTGGGAATTGAGTGTACAAATCCCCCAGCGACGGGTACCGGTCACTTTCTCAGCCAGCAGAGGTCTGAACCACCACTCTCCTAACAATCCTGGAAGTCCAAACCCGGGACAGTCAGGGACGCAAGGGTCTGAATCCAGCAACAGCTAAGAACCTGAGTGTAAATCCCAGTCCCTACAGACCCGGGGTCCCAGCTCCCCCCCGCCCCCAGAGCCCGCCCGCCCCTCCAGTCGCTCAGGGTCCCGCCCACCTGCCGGGCCAGCTGCGCAGCGTGGGAATGCCCCAGCTGGGCGGCATGCAGCCGTCAGGACAAGCTGCCCGGTTCCCAGCCTCCCTGCCTGCCTCCGCCCAGGCACCACCGCCTCCCAGCCGTCGCCCCGGCAACCGCGGCGGGATGGGGAGAGGGGCTGGGCCGCCGACTGCAGGGTCCTGGGAAAGGCGGGGCTGCAGGCCTGGGTTCCTGGGTCCAAGGACACGCTACGGTTTGCACGCTAACGAGGCGGCAAAGGGGGTATTTTTGAGGCCAGGAGAGCTCAGCGCCCCCCCGCCCCTTCTCGGGCGCCCCAGCTGTTCCCCAGGCATCCAGGTGCCCTCTTCCCGACCCGCAGACCCAGGGGACAACAGCGCCCGCCTCCCCAGGGCGCGGAAACTGGCGAGACCCCAGGGGCTCCCATTTATAGCTCCGTTTCCACTCAGCGCAGTCCCTCCAGGACCTGGGCTGAGCAAGTTTCTTCCACTCCCTCCCCTCCGACTTCCTCACCCCGTGCCTCCCTCAGCCTCGGCAGGGCGCAGATGTCCAACCCAAGCGGGACCACCTCCTTGGACCCAGCTGTTCCGGCTCCCACATCCCACTTGGGCTGGGGCTCCCGCCCTCTGAGGACTCCCAGCCCTGCGCGCCCCCATTCGCCGGCCTCCAGGCCGCGGGACTTTCTCAATGGGAAGGGGGCGGGTCTCCCAGGGGGCGGGCGGGGGCGGAGCGAGCGGGACCCGGCCCGCCCCGGGGTCCCTCGGAGACCCAGAGCCACGTACTGGCAGGCGTTTCAGAGTGAAAGAGGCTGCGGATGAGCAGACCCGGGGGGAACTCCAGGGCATAGACAGGGGGCTCCAGCCCGGGGCAGAGAGTCCGGCACGAAGCAGGTTCCGGGCCACGGTTTGGGAGGTGGGCTGCGGAGGAAGAAGTTGGCAGGTCTCATGGCTCCTGGAGGACGCGCACTCGGGATGCTGGTCCCCGCCCTCCTCCTGCTCTTCTGCTTCAGAGGGCGCGCAGGTACCGCGAAAGGAGCACGGACGAATCTGGGGGCGGTTGTTTGCTTCTGCCGCTTTACCAGGGAGAAGCGGGCTGGGGGCTCAGACTCCTGAGTCTGAGCGAGAACTCTGGCGGCCCAGGCTTCCAGGCTAAGAGAAGAGGCGGCTGGGACTGGGGACCGAAGGACTTTTGGGATGTGCTACGCTCAGCTCCGTTGCCTTCCGTTCTCCTAGGCTCTCCGCCCCACTTCCTGCAACAACCGGAGGACCTGGTGGTGCTCATGGGTAGCGAAGCGCGGTTGCCCTGTGCTCTGGGCGCATACAGGGGGCTTGTTCAGTGGACCAAGGATGGGCTGGCTCTGGGGGGCGAAAGGGACCTGCCAGGTGAGGCTGTTCTCTCTATTCTGGAAGGGCCCGGGGTCAGGGCGCGCATGCTGGGGTTGGGCTGTATCCGAAGATTCTGTTTTGATCTTTTCAAGTTTGGGAAATTGAAGGAATCAGTTTAAACTTTTGAGAGGCCTGATTTTGAGGGTGACCCAGGGAGGATCGGGATTTTTACATTGTAAATGTTGTGTAAATGCAGTAAAGTGCAGTGAGCCCAAATGAGAAAGTTATTAACCAATTTTAAGTAGGCATCCAGATAACCAGGTCATTCCTGGCTCTCCAGAGCTCTCCACACCTCTTTCCCCTATCATAACCCTCTTCCTTCTCGCCCCCCTTGTATTGAGGCAATCATTTGCCTGCTTTCTGTTCTGACTTTTAGCACCCCCAAGTTTGCAATGATTCCAGTCTGGGGCAGGGACGGTGGGGGGAGGAATTTGAGTCTCTCTGGAGCCCGCACACTTTCTCATGGAATGTGTTTGGAGATGGGTGATTGGCAAAGGAGGCCTGAGGCCAGGAACTCAGAACCCTGGTGCGATGGCCTCTTCCCTGACTCCAGGGTGGTCCCGGTACTGGATATCAGGGAATGTGGCCAGCGGCCAGCATGATCTCCACATTAGGCCCGTGGAGCTGGAGGATGAAGCATCGTATGAGTGTCAGGCAACACAAGCAGGCCTCCGATCACGACCAGCCCAACTGCACGTGCTGGGTGAGGACCCCGCCCGTCTGTGCCCTGGGAGCTGGGGTGGGGAGCAGCAGTAGCCGGGATCATCAGGGAGCCCAGAGGAGTGGTCGGTTGGAGCTGAAATCAGGGTCTCTGGGCCTACTATCCAGCTCTGACCGCAGATCCCCCCCCCGCAGTGCCCCCAGAAGCCCCCCAAGTGCTGGGCGGCCCCTCTGTGTCTCTGGTTGCTGGAGTTCCTGCGAACCTGACCTGTCGGAGCCGAGGGGATGCCCGCCCCACCCCTGAGCTGCTGTGGTTCCGAGATGGGGTCCGGCTAGATGGGACCACCTTCCACCAGGTCAGGTCCAAACCCTCAGGCCACCCCCTCGCCCAGTCAGTGACACCCAGGGTCCACTCTGACCAGAGGCTTATCCAGAGGGAAGAGGGTATGGGAGGGCATGTGTTCCAGGATTGTGATCCTTGGAATGTGGTTCTGGGTAAGGATTCTAGGACCAGGCCACCTGGGTTCATATCTTGGCTAAGCCAGTGGTAGGTAGCTGGCACTGAGTTAGTTGCTTAACCTCTTAGTTTCCCAGTCTATACAATGGGGAGAACAAGGGTAGCTGTGAGGTTAAATAAAGGAAGAGTGGCTGACATGCAGGAAATACTGTTTATAGAAAGGGCAGCCAAGGCATTGTTAGTTTCTGTAACTTTCAGACCTTGCTGAAGGGAAGGACCTCTGGGTCCGTGGAGAGCACCTTATTCCTGACTCCTTCCAGCCAGGACGATGGAGCCACTTTGGTCTGCCGGGCCTGGAGCCAGGCCCTGCCTACAGGGAGGGACACAGCTGTCACACTGAGCCTGCAGTGTGAGTGCAACTGACCCTGGGGGAGAGGAGGGGGCGGGGGAGCTGGAGTCCCGGGTGTGCGAGAGCACACTGGGGTACCTGAAGGAATTAGGAACTGGAAACCCAGGCGCATGGCCCAAAGGGAATGGGAACCAGGGAGCCAGCTTCCTGGGGTGAGCTGGCTTCCCAGGCCAGCCATGGAGGCGGCCCAGTTCCTTGCCCAGGCTGACCATTGTCCCACCGGCGCAGACCCCCCAGTGGTCACTCTCTCCGCTGAGCCACAGACTGTGCAGGAGGGAGAGAAGGTCACGTTCCTGTGCCAGGCCACAGCCCAGCCTCCTGTCACCGGCTACAGGTGAGGACCGGGACCACCTCTCCCCAGCACAGGCGTGGGGAGGGCTGGGACCGCACTGAGAGCACCACCATCTCCACAGGTGGGCAAAAGGGGGCTCCCCAGTGCTCGGGGCCCGCGGGCCGAGGCTGGAGATCGCGGCAGATGCCTCGTTTCTCACCGAGCCCGTGTCCTGCGAGGTCAGCAACGCCGTGGGCAGCGCCAACCGCAGCACCGCTCTGGACGTGCTGTGTGAGCCGGGGCGGGGCCGTGGGCGGGGCCGAAGGGGGCGTGGTTGCGAAGGGCTGGAGAAGTGGGTGGGGCGAGTGGCAGAATCTGGCTCTGCCAGGTCTGCGCCCAAGTGGGGCAGGGGCGGGGCCTGGGGCATGTGGGCGGGGCCGAATGGGCAGGGGCGGGGCAGGGGCGTTTGGGCGGGGTCTATGAGTGGGCGGAGAGTTGTGGACTTGGATCTTTGAGGGTGTCTCTGACCCCGGTAAGGGGTCTCATTCCGCCCGGCCATGTGACCCATTCTTCCCCTTCTCTAGTCGGGCCGGTTCTGGAGGCAAAGCCAGAGCCCATGTCCGTGGACGTTGGGGAAGACGCCTCCTTCAGCTGTGCCTGGCGCGGGAACCCGCTCCCACGGGTGACCTGGACCCGCCGCGGGGGCGCGCAGGTGAAGCCCGATCTGGGACCTGCGGCGGTGGCTGGCAGTGGACCCGGCTTCCTCTCCGGTCCCTGACGCCTCTCCCTGTCCCAGGTGCTGGCCTTCGGCCCCACGCTGCGTCTCCCGTCGGTGGGGCCCGAGGACGCCGGCGACTACGTGTGCAGAGCCGAGCCGGGGCTCCCGGGGCGAGGGGACGGCGCGGCCGAGGCCAGGCTGACAGTGAACGGTGAGGAAGGCAGCTTTCCGGGGGGACTGGGCGGGGCGAGGGCGGGGTCTGACTCGAGTAGGCGTGGCCTTGGGAGGAGGTCGTAGACAACGGGGCCTGGTGACTGGAGCCGGACCTGTTGGAGGCGTGGCCTCGAGGGGCTCCGCCTTCGTTGAGGGGCGTGGCCTGGCTGAGCTGGGTAAGCCGAGCGCGGCTAGGCCTGGCTCCCTGAAGGGCAAGGTGTTTCCTCCGAGTGATCCGGCATCGCCATCTCAGCTCCTCCCGTAGTGACTGCCCTGCACTCTGCGCCCGCCTTTCTGAGGGGCCCCGCCCGCCTGCAGTGTCTAGTTTTCGCCTCCCCTGCTCCGGAGACCGTGGTAAGGCAAAGTCCTGCCGACCGTGACCCACCCGGCCCCCGAAACTGCTGTGGGCATCCCTGACCCCCAACAGCCCGCCCACCTATTTCCCCCTCCGCGGGTTGTGCCCCCAGGTCTGGTCTTGGGATGACGGCTTCCTGGAGGCAGGGGCCCGGGGCCGGTTCCTGGTGGAGACTTTCCCAGCCGCAGAGGGTCCAGGCTTGATCTCTGTGCTGCACATTTCTGGGACCGAGGAGTCTGACTTCAGCAAAGGCTTCAACTGCAGTGCCCGGAACCGGCTGGGCGAGGGAGGCACCCGGGTCAGCCTGGGCCGCAGAGGTGAGACCCTGGTCCACAGACCCCGAATCTGAGGATTCCAAACCCCACAAGCACAGAGACCCCCAAACCTTGAGAGCCTCAAAGCTATCAGTTTCTTGAATCCAAAAGCCCCAAAACAATCAACCCTCTCAAATTCATAACTGTAAACATTTTTTTAAAAAAGATTTATTTATTTATTTGAAAGACAGAGTTAGAGAGAGAGAGAGAGAGAGAGAGAGAGAGGTCTTCCATCTGCTGGTTCATTCCCCAAATGACTGCAATGGCCAGAGCTGAGCTGATCGGAAGCCAGGAGCCAGGAGCTTCTTCCAGGTCTCCCATGTGGGTGCAGGGGCCCAAGGACTTGGGCTATCTTCTACTGCTTTCCCAGGCCATAGCAGAGAGCTGGGACTTGATCCGGTGCCCATATGGGATGCTGGCGCTGTAGGCCAGGGTTTTAACCCACTGTGCCACAGCACCGGCCCCCATAACTGGAAACTGAGAGATCACTCACACTTAGAAGGTCTCCAGAAGGGGCCTTTCAAATCTAAGAGACTGCAAGGGAAGAGACTCCTGAAACCCTAAGGATCCCTAAGCCAGAGTCCATCGTATGTTCTCAAATGTGGGGAACCCCACGTCTACAGGCCCTTAAACCTCAGACTGGGGGAGTTCAAGCCTTGGGAATCCCCAGACTTGGCAACCCCTTGAGCCCAGGGATCGCAAATGTGATCTCCAGTCCACACTCCACCCCTGCCCAGTGTCTCAGGACGCCCCTGTACTCCCTGCAGACCTGTTGCCCACTGTGCGGATCGTGGCTGGAGTGGCCTCTGCGGCCGTGACTCTCCTTATGGTCATCACCGGAGTGGCCCTTTGCTGCTGGCGCCATGGCAAGTATTGGTGTCTGAGCCCACCGGGTCCCCGTTCTCACCCATATGCTGCCCGCTGACATGGCCTCATTTTGGGCATGGCCCTGACTCTAGCCCTGTGAGGGGCTCGGCTCACCTTAAGCTCCAACTCCATCTCCTTGGGGTCACGCTCCTTGCCAAGGCTCTCAGTGGCTCTGGGTCTCTGCCCAATTACCCGATCTTCTCTCTTCCTGTTACTGATCTCCACAAAGCCCTACCCCCTTGCTTACCTCTGCCCCTCTCTACCCCCAACTCAGCCTCTTTCTCCAAGCAAAAGCATCTGGTTCAAGTCCCCGGCAGCAGCGACAGCTCCAGTTCCAGGTGCCCTGAGGAGGAGACAGGCAGCAGCGAGGACCCGGTAGGTTGCGGGCTCCCCAGACCTGACTGCACCACCAGACCCAAACAGTAACTTAGTCCCAGTGTGGCCCCCAGATTCAGATAGGACCCCAGTCTTAACAGTGACCACAGACCAATTCTCCCAAGTTTGAACACGCTCTTCATCCATTTATTCCGTAGTCCCACTATGTCCCCATGACTATTGCTGTCTTGAGTCCAGACCCTAGCTCCCAGGGGCCCGGGGGTCCCTCCTGCCTGAAGGGGAAGCCCTTGGGGGGTGGCTCTGGGGCAGGGGGATCCCCTAGCCACTCCCTTAGTACAGTCACTGTTCTAGGGCCCCATTATGCACGCTGACCACAGTGGCCTGACTCTGGATGAGGAAGGGGCTCTGGAGAGCAAGGTGAGTGTGGGGAAGGAGGGGTCCCCTCATTGTGTCCAGCTGTCTCTCTGCTGCTGTCCCCGCCATGTTCATTCTTTCTTCCTGGGAGTGGGACCTAGCCCCTCCCAACTCTCTCCTGGCCTCCTGGGCCAGCTTCCTCAGCTCCACAGCCTCAGTGTTCATGGCTGCTGATTATGCCCACACACCTGCCCCAGCCTTAGCCTCTCCCTGAGCCCTAGACCGAGGTTCCATCAGCCTGTGTGCTCCTCATCAGTCCCGTTCCAGGCCTCCGGGTGCCTCTTTCTGATTGCTCTTGTTCCGCCCCAGCCCCGGCCCTCAGGCCCCCTCCATCCCCTAGGTCCCACACGGGCCTGCCTGCGCCAAACTCCTGGAAGTCCCTCCTTTGCAATCCCCTCTTGGGACAGCCCCTGTTGCCGGTCCATGCCCTCACTGGTCTACACCTAGCACATGCTGTTCTCTGCGCCTGGAACCCTCCCACCTTTCTTCGCACAATGACCCAATTCCCTCCATTGTTGCTCCGATGTCAGCTCAGATGTTTCTCATTCTCAGACCCATGCTTTCCTCATCCTGACCTCGGCTTGCCTGTCCAGCCTGGTCACTCGGCTCCCCCCCATCCAGCACAGCCACCATCACCTCCTGTGTTTTCCCATCCGGGCTTCTGTGGTCTGTCCTGTCCACCCACCCACCCCCACCCCCGGCCTGAGATCTCTGGGAAAACAGGGTCCAGGTCTCTCCTGGTGATGCATCTGCAGCAGCGGCATAGGGCACAGCACAACATCAAAGCCAGGAGCTGTGTGATTGACGGAGGAATCTCTCCTCCCTGTCACCCTTCAGCAGGTCTATAACCTTCTGGCTCTGTCACGCTCCTTTTAGTCTCTGTCTCTGCTTTCTCTGCCTCCCCGCTTCTGTCCCTTTGGCTGCAGTCACTGGTTTTGCTTCAGTCTGTCCCTGCTGGTTTATGTGTCTGTCTCCCTGTTTCTGGGTCTTTGCCTGCTCCTGTTGCTGCCTGTTTGTCTCTCTAGGTCTGGCTGCATCTCATTGTCTCCATCAGTGACCCTCAGCCCCATATGGCCTCGCGTACCTTACCAAGTCTCGTTTGTCCCCCAGGACCCAACCAACGGTTACTACAAGGTCCGAGGGGTCAGCGTGAGCCTGAGCCTTGGTGATGCCCCTGGAGGAGGCCTCTTCCTGCCCCCCACCTCCCCTCTGGGGCCCCCGGGGACCCCTACCTTCTATGACTTCAACCCACATCTGGATACGATGCCTCCCTGCAGACTGTACAGAGCCCGGGCAGGGTATCTCACCACACCCCACCCTCGGGCCTTCACCAGCTACATCAAGCCCACATCCTTCGGGTCCCCAGATTTGGCCTCTGGGACTCCCCACTTCCCATACGCAGCCTTCCCCACCCCCAGCCATCCTCGACTTCAGACTCACGTGTGACATCTCTCCAGCTAAGGAGTGCCGGAATCTTCCTGCCATCATAGGCCGCCCTGATTTCTGAAGAACCAGAACATGCTGGCTACTTTCCCCTCCCAACATTGGGCACTGGGGGAGGAGGTCATCACAGTCATCAGGATCGCTGTTGTACACTCAACTCAGCCACAAAGGGATGCCCGGCTGGGGGCAGGATGGCCACTGTGCCCACCTATTTCTTAGTGTAAATGAAATTCAGGATGGCGGCCAGGACCTCTGAAGAGGGGTGGGAGGATGGGGATTAGGGGCAGGCTGGGAGTTGCC